CAATCTACTAAAAAACGAACCCATATCATACAATCCTACTTATGTTGTTTGCTTAATAGTTTAACAAAAATATTCTCCTTGGTCATCAACAGTGATTTTGTTCTTGATTATAACTTTCTAACGGATGTGGACGGTTTCCAAGCCTTCACAATTTGTATCTATATTCATCCAGATCGGAAGCAGTTGAATATTTTCTGCAACCGATATGATCGAGGCATTCAGGAAGAACAAACATTTACTGTGAAAAGCAGCAGTCGGTATAATGATCAAATTAACTTTGCAATCCTCTACAACGAAGATGTTATAAGCGCCACTTTATAGACCTCTGAACCTTCATAAACTAAATTTTGCCCCAAAACGTTGCAAAATCAGTAACTTTTTTTTTCTTGTGAGAACAATCATCCAATTTGTCTATTGTCCTTTCCAAAGCTTTCTTCAGTTTACCAAACTACTCTTACAATCGTTGCAAATGACTATCAGCAGACCCACACTTGAATGCCCCATTTGTTATTTTAAAAAATCTATATTCAAAAAACAATATAGTAAGCAGTCACAACACCCACCCAACTTCATGTATGTAGACTGCCAAGAACGAGTTCTAACCCATTTTTCTTCAAATATGGACAAATCCTACCATCCATTTGCCAGGTCACAAATTATACTACTAGTTCCCTAATCCATTATTCCACTTGTTTTTTATGTAAAAAAACTACCGGAAGTGCAACATGGGTAAACATTCCAACTGTTAGTATGGCAAGTTATCGACAACTCACAGATTGCCATCTAAATATCACGTTATGTACAGAGTGCATCCCATCTTCAACTCAATCTTGCACTAAATGTTGAATCCCTCGCGCTTTCTCCGACCCCCTGGAATGAACCCTTAAAACCTAATAGGTTATTCATTTATATTTTCTCTACACTTCTCAGTGTAGAGATGGTAAGGCATCAAATTTTAAAAAAGCGATTCATATCAATAGATGAATCTTTTTAGTTTATTTAAAAACAAATTGTTCTCCTTTTTTTGTATTATATTATTAGACAAAGCAATCTTCTTCAGACTGATGCTATTTTATATACTATTTACCCAAACCAAATTTTTTTAGTAATTTTTTTTTTAAAAAGATGACCCTGAAGTAAGGTTGTAGATGACACCAGGTGGAAACATATCTAAGATGATTGGGGGTTAACTAATAAAAAATTTGTTTTATTTTTGCTAAATTCAATTTTCATATCCGAGGTTAAATCAGAATTAAAAAAAATGAAGTGTATGTAGGATTAATCAACACTTTGACGGTTATTTTTATTTTTTTTCCGTGGTGGGTTTGTATAGGACCGCAAAGCTATACTAAAACTTTTTTCTAACTGAAACAATACTTTTATAATTGTTTCTTACTGTTCAATTTTGTTATAAAATTGAGAGTATAAATATAGTTCGGGTCTTCCAGTAGATCATATAATGTTTAGAAAGAAAAGATTACGAACCAATAAATAACCGTACAAAAAACAATTTCTTCGACGATCGGAATCGCAATCATCCCGAACCTGCCACAGAGCAAAAAAAGCTGCCTTTCGTTACCAAAAAATCAAGCATTTTAAAAGGAAAAAAAGTTGGTAGTTATTCACGAGGAAACATTAAATCTAGACGACGGGTTGAATAAAGACCCAAAACAATTCCCTAACCTAGCAAAAAAACTCGAGTTACAGAATGGCAGGAAAACCATTATTAAAATGAAAAACCCTAAACATATCCTCAGCCTGACATGTTCCCCAAAAACAGACTATAAACAATGGACCCTGCCAAACACTAGAGATCACTTACAAAATTTATAAATGCACTCAATTTTAATCAAAGAAAAATTTCCCATGAAGAATACACATAATCATTGAAAAATTAAGAAAAGAAACACAGGAGATTACAAATCTGGATCCATGTTCATGAAGATTCATTTCGAAGGAATCACAGCCCTCCCGAAGCTTACACCTATGACCAAATTGACGTCCTTACGTCCATTGAAATTCTCGAAATCAAAGAGAACAAAAGAAAGAGAAAAGGCCCTGAAATAGAAACTCGAGGCGCAGAAAAGAAGATGCAAATTTTGATTTCCAACAATAATCATTTGGAAAAAAACTAGAAGAAGGACAAAAGTGAAACTACCCAACAAAGCAAAATTACAATTTGATGTTTTTGATGCTTCAAATTTCATAATTGTTTAAAAACCAATTTCCTTATTTTGAGGATTTTTATATTTATTAATAAAAGTATAAGCACAGATAAAACAACTTAATTTTTCAAAAAAAAAAACGGGGTGAGTTAGAGCATTGCTAAGTCAAAAAACACCTCTCCTTTTTTTTATAAATCCGGATGAAACTCTTTTGAAAAAGTGAATTGCAGGTGCAAATCAAATCAGTTGCACTCATCTAAGGAATTTTTCGTTTTCATCTAAAAAAAAAATAAAACTGAAGCCTCTGACTTCCGATGTAGAACAAAGGCGTTTGATAATAAATTCAGCTGCACAGGTTTGAGTTAAGAATTGTACTAGAGAACCGGTCTCATTTTTTAACCGCTTAATTTTGATTACTCATTTTATTAATTTTAGTTGGAAAACAGTTAAAATCCAAAAACTTATTTCTAATAAACTTCATTTTTTTCCCAAAATTTTCTTTCCAACGTTTTCATGATTTTTAAGAACAGTAGAACAAAAGTTAAAGGCAAAAAATCCGTAAAATACATCGAAATTTGCAATAACACAAATTGAGAAAAGAAACGCTATACATAAGGATACCCGTACAACATCAGGACTAATCAGAACTAGAGGAACTAGACTGAAAGACAGGGTTCACAACAACAGACGTGGACACTACCTCTAGAACTGCCATCAAACGTTCAAACGACAACTCTTGATTTGCTCTCAACCTTAGTATGATAAAATTGTGAACAAGCTCAAGATTATTATGGAACCTAAAAATTGAAATAAAGGATTCCATCAATTTAAAACAATAAAATTTTACTAACTTATTAACCTCTGTAATTTATCCTTTTTTCAAACTAAACTTTCAAACTATAACTATTGTCGAAAAACTTGACGATTAAGGTGAGACTTATAATTCAAGTTAGGCTACTAAGCAATCAACTAGCAATGTGCGCTTAGTAAAAATTTTTTGTTTTACTTCCAGCAAATAAATCGAGCGAGTAGGCGTACAATTGGCTTTTTATAGAGTCAAGATACGCCTATTTAATCCCTGAAAACTAAATTTTGTTTCAGTTAAACTAGTTTTCGAGTTTTTTGCGCCATATCGCGATTCAAAATATCAAAAAAATGTGCATAAATTTTTCAAAAAATTTTGGAATTTTTGGAACATCTCTTTTAGTTGCAAACTTGCTTCTGCTCTCGAAAAAAAAATTTACCAAATGATAAAAGTTGCATGCAATTTTGACAATTTTTTCTATAACGTAGTCCAGGTTGAGTTTTTCACCCAAAAAAAAATTCAAAAACATTGAGCAAGTTTTTTTCTTATAAACATATGCTAAGATAAACATAAGTTAGAAAAAAAACAGGCTTTTCTGAACCACCGAAATTTTCAAAGTGAACACTTTGTAGTCACGTTACCTTTTTGGTGTATGATTCTTTGCGAAAAGGTTAACATCAACAAACAAGGTTAATATCATCGAATGCAGTTTATCTTTAAAAATTTTGTAAATGAAATCACAAGTTGGTAAATCTAATTCAAGGTTGTTTTTTATTTTTTGGCTAACTGATTTGATCTCAACACACATCGTGTTTTAGCTTGGTCTCAGTCGTTTCATTAATCCCAAAAACTGACCTAATTCGGCGATATGCTGTGCGTTATTCAAGTTTATTTCTTTTGCAAAACGATTGGGGGCTTTGTCGCCACGCTGTCTACTTTTCAAGGCAAGACATTAGGCCAGTCCCCTTAAATGGCGACAGATTTGCACTCAAAATCCAGGCCAGAAGCAGGATAAACAGGTGAGTCCGATGAAAAAAATATTTCAATTAGACTGGTTCTTAAGAGATTAAAAATTTTAAAACTGAATTTAAGTTTAATTTAGTGTAGTATTTGCAAAAAAAAATGTAATTTTTCATGTCTTGTTTCGAAAAATATTTGCTTTGTACAGAACTGATTTCGTGAGCAAAACAGGTATAACATTTTTTGGGTTTCTTTCTTAAAATAACATTTCTCTTTTTGCCAAAAACCGCTAGTCAAGCCAATTCGATATAAAAAAAGGAATTGATTGCACTTTTCACAAACTCTATATATGGAATTGTCGTCCCCGTTAAGATTTATTTGCAATAACTTGTGTTTCAGCTGAAAATTGAACTTGAAAATTTACAAATTTTTTTAGTGTTCGCTCAAATTTATTTGCAGAGATTTTGCGGGTTTAGGGGGTTCCACCCTCTGGCAACCCGCTAACACTCATGGATTCGACGACCTGGCACTAAAAAGACTGAATATTTTTTTTACAGTTTTGTGTCATAAGTCCGCTAATTTTTTTTTTCTGAAATTTAGAACGGAACAATCCAAAAAAATGTTCGAAGCCGCAGTTTTTAGCAAGTTTTCTTTAAACTTTTAGCACGTAAGTTAAAGCTCTAAAGTGTCACGTTTTTTTTTGGAGAGTTCTGAAAATCAGTTTGACTGACCTATAAAAAAGTGGACATTTTCACAAAAATTTTGAAAATTCAAAATCAAACCCCCCACGAGAAACGTCTAAATCCGCTCCTGCTACATGCACAAATACGATCTAACCGCTTATCAGTTGAAAACTTGGCTCTTTTTCCTTTTCCCCCCACCTGCAAATTTTTATAAATCAACTTACTGTTCACATTGTCCGATTGTCATGAAAATTGACATGCAGACTAATTAGGCCATGACAACATATTTGATTTTTTTTAGTAAACTTTGTAAAACCACTCCTTAGACCATAAATTGATGTTTCTGTAAGGTGAGGGGGGGTGGAGAAAAAAGAACCGAAAACTTACTTGCTCTGACATCCGTACCCTCTCTTGACACTGTTTCCGTTTGCATCCTTTGGATGACCTCAACTGGTTCACAGCCACTTGTCTGGCTCATACTTCTGTACATTGGCGAAGCAATGATATCAGGATCCGAGTTGATACTGAGAACCTCTGTTTTCTTCGTAGTCACAGATGAGCCTTTAGCGATAGATAGCAATTACAATATCAGCCAATTATATTGCAAAGTTTAATTAACGATTTCTGTTTTTGAAGCTTTAAAACATTCATTTTAAAAAAATCTATGCTTAATCAATGTAGAAGTCCTATAAGTCTAGCAACGGTGTTTTTCTGAAATCCATTTAAAACGGACGATTCGTTGTTGAGCGGCTAGTTTTTTGGATTCCAGTGTGATCACTTTCTTTAAAAAATATGATGTACATTCGCAACCGGCATCCCCTTGATATGATAGAACCCAGGCCAGGCGAAGATACTTTTGTAGTTAATTTGTCTGATTTTGTATTCTATCGCCGTTCCTCGTTTGCTTGGCTGTGACATGCTGCCGTTAAGTGTTTTTAATTCAACGTTCGATTCAATATTTGTAATTTTTGTCATAGATGATTACTAATTCAGGGAGTATTTGCTGAAATGAACGATTCGACCTCTTTGTCTATAAAGTAATTGAAATTGTTCTAAGTAAAATATTTCTGACCTGATGCTATTTAACCGATTGAGTACAAAGTTTTAAATGATGTCAATCTATTTCAAATTTATAAAATTTATCTTAAGCAAAGTTGATCTAAACTCTAAACAGTGAACGGAAGATCAGCTGAAATTAGGGCACAAAAAATTAATAAAGAATCCTGGCTTCATAACAATTTCTATAATTTAGAAAAAAATCCCTTTTTTCTACTTTCATTCTCTCATTGTAAAGAAATTTCAAACTTCAAAATTTTCAAAAAAAAAATGTATGAAAAATCCTTTGGCAATCGGTCTTCCAAAATAAGCAAAGTGAATCCTCAATTATTGTCTATTTAGTCGTACAATAGTCGCAAATGTCAGAGAGTGACCCAAACTCTAATTCTACTGAAGTATTTTTGAGCTAGCATCCTTTCATGATTTGATTTTTGAGATTTGATTTTTTTGTAGTTTATAGGATCATTTGTTGAGCTACTGTTTCATATCTCAGTACTGTTGACACGTTTTAATTTTGCTTTATTTTGATCTTATGGTAGCCAAAATGCATGGAACACTTAATAAAAACGCAATAGTTTCAACTACCCAAATTCACAATATCTACGACCCGGCTAAGTTTTTTTTTCTTAGAAATTGATTGTATGATTTGCAAGTTTTCCTATAATTACCGAAAAAAGCCAAAAAAATACTAATATATATTGGAAACATTTTAGAAAATGGGATATTTTTTTCTTAAGATTTCATGTTTAATTTATATGACTACCCTTGTGATAAGCATGGGTATTACAATCGAGTACTAACATTTTCCCGTAAAATAACTTTGCTCACAGAATGGTCAATTGGCAATCAGTATATTTTACACCCATTGATTTATACGCATGGTTGATTTACAGTACGTGTTTGCGCTAAGAGTTGTCTGTTAATATTTTATCAGATTCGAAAATTTTTGTTAAATGAGCTTAGCTTTAATTATGTTGGCTTTATTTTGAGTCGGCTTGATCTATTAGTTATGTTTATTTTATGAAAATTGATCTCTAACAAGAAGTTGAGACGACAAAAACTAGTGGTTCGAATCCTGTCGGAGCCTGTTTTTTTTCATATTAGAAGTTTTCTGTTTGTTTTTTCGTGCATCCGTCCGTCTCTTTATTTTTTCGACTTAGTTCCTGTTGCACGGACACTTCTTGATTTTTTTAAAGGCCGTTCGATGAAGTAATTGAGCCATTTGCAATTTTTTTGGCTCTTGTTGAAGAAATTTTAATATAATTTTCAGAATTAAAGTTCTTTCGAAACTTTCTTAATTTTTTATTTTTCTGTTAATGAGCACAGAATTTTTACGCATGCCATTTGTATTTTCGCATTTAGCACTGTTGGGTTGTTAGCGCTACTTTAATTTTGTTCCGATGCTTTTTCTACCTAATATTTTGTTTCCTACAATTTTCCGGGGTTTTTTTAAACGCTCAATATTAACTTCACGAGATTCTCTTGAGAAAACGTCAATGAATGTAATCACGAAAAAAAAAATTCTTTTTTAAAAATGTGTCTTCTTCCTAAAAAAGAAATTTTGACTTATTCCTTGTTGTATTGCAAGTAGTGTGAAGAATAAAATTTGTTTTTTTTTGCAAAAATGTATGTGCTTGTTTGAATATTTCATTTGTGTTTCTTACCATGTGTGCAACACCACATTCGTTGACATCTTGACACTGCGTGTATCCATTTGTTCACAATGATTTCAGATGCATTATTTAGCTTTGTTTATGTAATACCTAGTTTGAGTTGTAGTTTCAACTTCAAGGCATCAATATCGTTCAGATGCTTAAAAAATTTAGCCAGAAAGTTCAATTTGCTTGTCATAAAAAAAGCAACTAAATGCTAATATTGATTGCCACCGCAGAGAACTCAGTCAAAGAATTTTCATATATACAAGAAGAGATTAAAAAAAACTGCTCATTTTTCGAAGATAAAAAAAATTTGATAAATAACGGGATGCGTAGTTTTAATCATTTTCAATGCTTTAATTCTCCCAGATACGTTAACTTGAACGAGAGACAAACTAAAAATTGCAGTTAAACTAAAAAAAAGTTAAAATCATTTTTTTCATGTCGTAAACAATTACTTTGAGCAAAAAAACTGAAAACAAAATCAAGAGAAAGCAAAAAAGTTCGCCCCCAGTTGGTTGACAGTGGACTGCCAGACGATCTGTTCTTTAAAAATTAATCCTTGGACTGGCAATTTTGCAGCGCGCTTTATGAAACTGCATTTTGCGGCTGTATGAAAAACTTTACTCCGTTTTTTTTTACATATTGTTAGTCGTTTTTTTAATAGACATTAAGATAATAAGGCAAACTTGGTGGCACTATGCTAAACAGTCATTTTTTAATGGAAAAATTGTATTCATACTATTATATTTGTGAACAAAAATGCTAATCAATCATGCAATTTCCAATTATGGAAACACTTTATTGGAAATTTTATGATTAGTAGTGTTTCCATAATTGGAATTTGCATGATTTTACGATGGTCATTTCTGATCTATCAACCTTTAAAATGTTCTTAAGGCGTCTGAAAAATCCTTGATTGACGAAAAGTCCTAATCATACCATTTCCATTTATAAAAATGATCCTTATCATACAAGTTCTATGAAAGTCCATGCACCTAGGCACTTGTATAAAACTAGCATGTTTAGTTTATACATTATTGGAAATTTTATGATTAGCAGTAAAAACTAAACAACTACTGTTACACTGCTAGTTTAATACAAGTGTTTAGGTGTATGGACTTTCATGGAACTTGTATGATAAGGATAATTTTTATAAATGGAAATTGTATGATTAGGACTTTTCGTCAACCACGGAATTTTCAGACGCCTTAAGAACATTTTAAAGGTTGATAGATCAGAAATGACTATCGTAAAATAGGAATTTTTCAAACAAATTGACAGGCAAAATTGAATAGGGGCGTTCAACTCATCCACTCCTTCTATTGAAGTCTCCTTCTCAAGCGTAAATAATCATAATTTTGTTTGTTTTCCAAATCGGATGTCACAGAAGGTTTCAAAGTGCTGCTTTTTTGAAAAAAAAATTGATTATTTATCTCCATGAATTTTGTATTGCGGCTCAAAATTGTTGAAGCAATTTTGCGCGATCAAGAAGGCTTTGCCGGACCTTACGTGAGCCAAAGAAAAACTTGTCGAAATTTTGCGCCATCTAAATGCTTTTTGGAATCACAATTCAAATAGGGCATGTCACAGTTTTGTGCAACCAATAAGGTCACGCGCAATTGGTTCGATCCAAAAAAACTAAATTATGTTGTGCATTTGCGCAACACAAAATTATCTGTTGCAATTTTGCGCGTTTGCATAACTTTGCCGAAGTATGAAGGTTCTGCGCGAAAGCGATTCACCAACTCAAACATCTCGACATACAATTGTACGACAAGAAATACACACATTTTCAAAATTTTTAAATGTAATCCGAGAAGATCTAACAAGTAATGACATAACACAACATGTTAAACACGATTTACAAAAAGGACTTTACGCTTGAGAGGACTTTTGCAGGACTGATTGTTTTCTTGAGTGAATAATGATAAATGCATCGCTCAGATAGATATTCATTTCGCAGTTGATGATGGATTTTTGCACGATTTACGTTGCGACTCAGCGCAGCTTTTAATACGACTTTGGGCTAGACATACTGGGACTTTGTCTGGTTTATGTTGTGAAATAGCGAATTTGCGGGACCCGTGTTACAACTTTGAGCAATGCGACTCATGTTAGGATATTGCGTGGTTTTGCGAGTCGTTTTTAGCTTTTTAATCATTTTGCGAGAATTAAGTCTGTATGAATGTGGCGACTTTGCGCTACTCATAATGTGACTTAGTGCGACTCAAATCTCGGCGCAAGTAGGGTTTTTGATCACGCGATGGACGGTTTTGCGACCTAAACTGGTCGCGACATAAGTCACAGACCTCGACCCGGGGAAATGAAGAGAATGAGAAAAAACTATAATTTAGAGTTAACTATAATTGCTTTTTTCCACTTTTAACCAAATCTCGATAGCATCAAGTGCTCAAATGGAAATCTTTTGAGTCGCGATTTAAGGTTCTCAACAAAAATGTGAGAGGAAAAATTGCCCACTTTTAGAATAACTCTAGCACTCACAAATGGTTGTTCCGACTTTCGAAGAAGTGAAGAATACATGCACTCAGGCTTCTATGCACGTTCAGATCACATTTACAAATCACTTTGCTCCCTCGCGGGATTGATCCTTTTAACTGCATGGATCCACGCGAATGTGCACACCACTATAGTATCTTGCCATAAGTCTGTATAAACTGCTCTTTTTATTTTTTACATGTGGCGAAAAATCTCGCACCATAAAATTGTTCCATTATGAACTGAGGCAAGATAATTGGTCTTAATTATTCCCGGGGTTAACCATACCACGCAAAATCCTCTTATCTGAAAATTTCTTATAAGATTTAGTGGAAATTTCCGCTATCTTACAATTTTTTATCAGAAAATTTCAATGATAGCAACTTTTTCCCTGTGAAGATGGCAAAATTTCAAAAAAAAGCCAAAAACAGTAAATGTTTTTCAATAGCGTAAAACAGATAAAAAATAAATTTTGGAGAAATTTCAGTTTTCAAATTCAAGCATGTAAAGATTTTCAGATACTGGTTAGAATGTACGCACTTTGAACAAAAAACCGAAAAAAAATTTGAATTGTTTTCAGTAAATTTTCTAGTTCTACGTAATTAGCGGTTCAGAACTTATTTCGAGATAATAAAAAAGCAAACTTCACGAATAATGTCATATAGGACGTCTTGGACGTGTTGTATGTGGAGTTTAGGTCTAGTTCGACAAAAAGTCCATAAATCAGCAAAACACTAACTTTGTAAAGCTAGTGAGTTTTCAGTAAACGCATGCAGCAAAAGAAAATGGTTGGCCTGGGAATTTCCCCTAATGTAATCTGCGACAACAGAGAATTATAAAACTGGTTGCAAAAACTGTTTAAAAATAAGAACAAAAAAATTTTTTGTAGGAAAAGTTCTTATCTCACAATTTCTTACAATAAGAAATCCATATCTTGTAACATTATAAGAGTTTAATTTTGTAGGAATTTTTAAGATTCTTTTATGAAAAGTTTTGGTCAACTTGGCTCGATACACGACTCAATTTCTAAGACTTAAAGTGTTATATTATCAGCCTAAACTTCATAGTTTTGCCAATAATTAATTCAATGAAAGCCACTTGAGACCAAATAAAGGGGTAGTCGGAACATTCAAAGTTTTGCCCTGATACAGGCAGTCTGCATTTTTGGCGTCGAAAATTAAAATTTCAGCGCGCCACAACTGAGTCAAGAGTCAAGTTCGCCTTAAATGTACTGTTTTTGACCAGTTAGGGGGCTCAAGGTTATTGATACTGTCAGCATTTATGGCATCAACTATGATCGTATTTTTAGATGTAAGTTTTTTTTCAAACTAAAAGTATCTAAAGAAGCAACTAAACAATACACATTTCCTCGGCGAACTTAACAGTTCCTGGCTCTTTTAAATTTTTAAACAGCTTAATTTTGTAATTTTCCGAGGGGGATGGGAAACTGGTAAAGAGCCGAATTCCTATAAAGGCTGCGTATTGCGAACAATCTACCATCCGGTTAGCGATCGCAGTAAAGTGTTCATATGATTCCAATAAGTTATAATATTTTTTATTTTACCGAGAGATCGGACAAATTCAAGCTGTATGCATACGAGCAAAATTTTGAAAGTCATACAGCTCAAATGATTCGCAATGATGCGTTGAGCAGTATAGATAAATGGATAAGAAGCGTGCATAAATCAGCAGCTGCGCATTAATTGCATAACCCAGCAATTTTGCCAAAATGACATATTTTACACCTCCGTGACTTCAGAAATTCATGGCTGACGAAATACCTTTAGTAAAACTATGAAAACCAGCAATTGCGCCAAATGTGCTGCTGTAAGAACTTTTTGACTTTGAAAAAATTAGAGGTCGCAGATTCAACTTTTTCAAATCAATTTGAGCAATTTCAATCAGAAAGATAATTGCACCGGAAAGCATGTTCTTGATCACGTTAACTGTTTCTAGTGGAAAAGAACGTCCAAAAACTGCGATAATCAAACAAAAAATTGCTCGCATCAGTAAAATTGAAAAGTTTTTTAAACATTAGCTTACAAGTTCCGAGTTGGCCAATTGCATGCAAGTTCAAGTATTTTTTCGTTAAAAAATTGATGATATCTTTAATAAGGAAATAAATGAAAAGTTACGGGAATTTTAACATCCACAACAGTGTTAAAGTACAGTGATGTATGTTGCACGCTGTATTGAGTTGGTTGGATAAACAGATTTTCCTTTGTTCAATTCTTAGTGATTTTTGTATGAAAAAAAAATTGCCGTCTGCAAAGATTCTGACATCCTGATTGCAAGTATGAATCCTAAATTAGCGAAAATGTCAGTTTTCACAACCTTAGTAATTTAAACTATCCACAGTTGAATAATTGATATTCCTATTTAAAAAATCGGATATGCGTTACAATCTCCCTATGGTATTTCCAACCCTATAAGTAAAAGCAGAAGTTTGGCACAAGAACTTTCTATTGAGAATTCTAATTTTGCAGCATTCTGATTGGTCATAAATTCGACTAAGTTTTTCTACAT